AATAAATAATGATAGTAGCGATGGTGATAATAATAATAGTAATAATAATATTAATGACGACACCAACAATAGGGAATCTAAATCATCAGTAGTAATTCCATACAAAGAAGGAACCTCGGAAACCACCTCACGCACAATTCTTAACAAGGCAGGTAGGAATAAAAGTGGCTGGAATTCAACCAATCCCCACAAAATCAATTAGAAACAAGCTTTGTCGGTTAAAGGATAAATCCTGTGGAGCCGTTAAAACAAAAACAATTTAGTTTATCTGATACCCTGTTTGCAATGAACGTCAGGTCAAATACATAGATCGAACAGTTAGTTTAAGCCAGCAAGCTACGTAGGAAGGTGTAGACTTCCTCAGGTGATCCAAAACGGTAACTCAGCAAAGTCTGCTCTTGAAGCTAGGGAATACAGGAGAAAGACAAGCTGGCTGGCTGCCTATTATCACCAACGATTATGTTCCTTATTGTGGTTCACTGCATTACGCGACACATTGTGAGTTGGGATTGAGTTAGAAGAAAGAGATACGCTGCACTAACCAATATAACAAGACTCTAGGATATATAAAATTTCGCGTATGGATGATTTATGTCATTGAATGTCACACAAAGACAGACTGGAAGATTTGCAGGCAGGCGGAAACTGGCAATAAACTGTCTGGTTGGCTGGCTGGCTGGCTGGTAGCGAAGGCAGAACTAACTCCATCCATGTGATGAATATAGAGAAGGTGGAGTAAGGGGAGATGATGAAGATAACCAACCAACCACCAACCAACCCTCACCAACAGTAACAACAATGACAAGCAGCACCAATCACCATGAATGGGAGAAAGAGGCTGAGAGAAGTCACTTCCTTCACTTCACACCTTCCACACCACACCACACCACACCACAAGCAGTAGGGACGAAGGAAAATGTGATAATCGGTCGGCCAGCTAGCCAGCCAGTATGAGGAATGTAAGATACGTCTTCGTCAACCTGAAGTCAGTTTGGAAATCTTCTGCTTCACTCCGCTTCACCATAAACAACACGATTCAGATTGTCAACACAAGTGTCAGTGAAGTCAATCGGTCAGTCAGTCAGTGCTTCTGTATGGTTGTGAAACTTGCACTGCGCGTGCCTCCAGAAAAGGATTTCCAGCAGGCGACCACGGATTTTCATCAACAGCTGCCACCTTCCCTGACTGGCTGGCTGGCTCAATAGTGAACGTCACATGGCCGGCCAGCTAGCTAGCCAGCCAGTTGATCGGCCAAAAAGAATTAGCAACACAAAACTCTGGCTGGTGATGGTGAGCGAACCAATCAAGAGTCGTCGATCGCTGAACAAATATATGGGAGAAAATGTAGATGGATCGATTGGGCATACGCTGGGGAGGGAAGTGGTCGAATGACAATGGGTTAAGTGCAGGTCATAGCTCGAGTGGAATCCCCAATGGTAAGTGACGAGTGGGTTGTTGGTGCTATTGTGACATTTAGGAGATCGTGTGAATTCGAGTCGGAGGAGATGAGAGATTATGGGTAATTGTGGAGCCATTATGGATAAGATTTTATTTTGATAAATCGCACAGTGGTGTTTGTTATACAGTAATATTAACTGATGACCAGATTTCGAACACAAATTATTATTGCCACTCATAATCATATCAAGTCACTCACTCACTCACTCACACAACGTTTTTCTTTCATTTATATACATGTGTTGAACTGACCAGATATTTGAACAAAAATCAATATGGGATAATGTACATTCAGAAATAATAATAATATGAGTGTTATGAGTGATCAATTACAATCAGATGGGAAATAAGACGAGTGTCTTTTTTATAGTCATAATAAGTAACATGTTAGAATGTTGTGATGTGGTTGAATTGAAATAGAATTTTGAGATTATTGACTTTCCTCTTCTGATTTGACTGACTGACTGACTGACTGGTGGTAATAATATCTACCATATTTCTGGTAATTGCATTGAGTCATTTCTGTTGCATGTGTTGAGTTGGATGTAGACTCGGTGAACCAGCCAGGATTCAGTAATCAACCTCTCTCGCTCTCCACCTACCTAGATTACTTTTTAGAATCTAAACCCTCTCCCACCATGCTATTGTGTGATTGTGAGTTATTGCATGCAGTGCAATTGCTGAGTTATTTCTAAATTACTTATCCTATATCGATTTTTATTCAAATATCTAATCAATTCCACATATGTATATAAATGAAGGAAAAGGTTGTGTGAGTGAGTGAGTGTCTTGATATGATTATGAGTGGCAATAATAATTTGTGTTGGAAATCTGGTCATCAGTTAATATTACTGTATAACAAACACCAACCACTGTGCGATTTATCAAAATAAAATCTTATCCATAATGGAGTTATACTCGGCCACCAGAGTGCTCAAGTTTTATACTTATATCAGTCGTGAACTCAGTTGATGAGGAGGAAGGGAGAAAAGAGAAGAAAGTGGAGATGAGTTGTTCAAGCTCTGTATTCCACTCAGAACCCAAAGGAATAATAACAAGAAATAATGAATGTTGAGACAACACAGTTGTTAAGTGTAACTGTCTCTGTGTAGGCTCAACATTCACTTGTCATATTGATACATGTTTGTGTATTATGCAATAAATTTCATAATTAGAGATAAAAGTTTAGAAAATAAACAGAACGTGTAACCAAGATAATACCGGCATTTGTGTTTCTCCTTACAGTTACTTCAACGCATCACAACAATATCCGAATAATCACTAGACTACTCTTCCCCCACTGAGGAAAGAAATTGGATTTATTGCTGCATGGAGGCGACAATATCACTAGAAATGATCAATAAATGCACAGTTATTTTACATGACCAATAAATCACCAGATTTAAGGTATAAAAACTACATTCTTATTGGTCATTTTATTGAACTGCTTTACGAGTTGATCACGGATTGATATCAGTTAGAGAACCATTGAAAACCAGCACTGGAGTACTGGACAGCTGCTGTTTCATCCTAGTTTTGGGATTTACCGGAAGTATGCAACCACTGGGATTCGAACCAAAACCTTTCGGTGACAAGGCAAGCTCGTATACCATTCAGATACTGAGACCCGATTCAATGGACATTCCATGAATTCCAACTTCTACCAATTCGTTATTTAGCGCGCCTCCAACCACTGTCGTAGGTGGGACATCCATCCTCACACGTGACATCTGGATGGACCTCACTGATAACGAATTCTCACTAGAACTGACTCCAGGAAACTCCATCCTGTAGCAAGTCACTAGCGAGCATCCATAGAGATGTCACGTGTGAGGATGGATTTCCCACCGATGACATTCTTTGGTCGTCGCGTTAAATCACGAATTTGTGGAAGTTAGAATTCATGGAATGTCCATTAAATCGGGTCTCAGTGTCTGAATGGTATACGAGCTTGCCTTGTAAACGGAAGGTACTGGTTCGAATCCCAGTGGTTGCGTACTTCCGGTAAATCCCAAAACTAGGATGAAACACCAGCTGTCCAGTACTCCAGTGCTGGTTTTCAATGGTTCTCTAACTGATATCAATCCCTTATCAACTCGTAAAAATGAAACTAACCCTTACAAATCAAACTATAGAAAATTAGTTGCTTTACTTCTCGAGTGAGACATGCGGAACTACAAGTTTAAGCTTTCACGTTTCAGTAGTAGTAGTAGTAGTAGTAGTAGTAGTAGTAGTGTCTTATTCAAGGAAGTGAGGCTGCCAGACTCAAGCTTATGCCTGCGTATTTACCAGGTATACTCCCGGATAGACGAGGTCTAGCAGTGCATTGGTCGGGAAATTAGCCATTGGCTATGTGCGTGGTTGTGCGACCAAAGCTGCAGCCGTACTCTGATTAGTTAACAATGCACCAGTACAAATTCGATGATAAAACCTTTTATCAAGGTTAAAAAATTGAATGTCTTCTAGTTTATGGACCACACGAGAAAAACGTGACTCGTAATATCCCTTCTCCTCTTCTACCATAAAATGAGGTATATACTATACTGTTCATTTCTACATATGAAGATTTCAAACGTTTAATCAATATTTTCTCCCAATATTTTGAGCATACATGCTTGTGTAATAAACAGTTGGAATATTTTATAAATTTCATACATTTGGTTCCCTTGATAAATTTCGATAGAGAAAGAAAGAAAGAAAGACCAGATTTGCAGTATAAAATGTGATATCATCATTCTATTCCACGGGTTCTCATCAGCTAACTGCAAACCAATACCTGAAATTACAATGCTTATAAATAATAACATTTCATACTTCAATGTGTGAAAGGTAATAGAGAAGACATTATAAGGTGAACGCCTCTGGAATATATAAGTATTATAATCTAAGTCGCCATCAATTTATATACTGTCAAACTATGAAAGAAGAAAACAAAGGTGGAGTTGTGAGAGAAGACAGAAAACAGAAAAATCTAATAAACAGTGTCAATATGGCAACTCAAGAAGGTCCAAGTTCATCAATTTGAAAACTTGCTTAGTGAGTTGAGCTCACTAGTGTATATTCAAATATCTGCAGCCTAGTGAAGATCACACTGACTACTACTCGCCCATCAACGGGTCGATATATATAGATATATATATTAATCCAAAGAAACTGGCCATTCCTAAAGCAATAGGAATATATCAGTGAGTAACCAACGGTTTTCATCCCCTCCCAGGTGGATTATAGTGAATCAGGAGAAAACATTCAGCGTTAACGTTTGTTTGTCAGTTGAAATAACTCTACAAGCCTAGCCAATTTGGAATTTTGTGATAAGGTGACGCTGACATTTCAATTACGGGACAGAGTGTCACTTCTGATCTATACACTCATCGTAGACCTCGTATTCGAGAAATGGTGATACCTGTGCGTTTGAGGTTTTTATATGTTGTTCCTTCAGTAAGTTATTTAGTTGGTTAATTATGTCTAGTTCTTCTACTGCCACGGTTTGTGAAAGTTTCTGTCGTTCTCCAGTGTTCATGTCCTGGAATCGTCTTGTCTGGTTTGGTAATGACTATGTATCTATGTAGCCACAGTCTTTTAACAGCCTGTCAATGCTGCTCTTTTCTCAGCTGGTATATACTAAGGCCTGTCAGCTTATTCTCCCGTTTATATACTGATAATAGTACTCTGCTATAATTTATTTAAATTGCTCTTTGCTGAAATCTTTTGTCTTAAAAAATTGAACAGAGGCTGACTAAAATATACTCCGACTGAGATTGTTTCAATCGACGGGATTACATGAGAGCCTGTAGCTACACTTACTACTGAGGGAAAGAGGAGGCTTGTCTCAAAGGGATTCAACACACCATACAAAAATTGAAAAATTAATTTCATCCAAATATGGAATGTTATTCAATCTGTCAAAACGCAGCGCTTTACTCCGTTGAAAAGATAAATTCACTATTATTACAAGGGGAATTACAACTTAAATGTGCTGTTTTTTTTTATCTTTCTCCAACTACTTGTGTGAGTAGTTCACAGTTTTGACAAGATTTTCTGAAGTCTGAATGAATCTGTCAATTGGTGTTATTGATTAGTCCCTCTTTCGACTTGATGAACGCGGGAAAATGCCTTTTTTAGGAATTCACTATAGCTCGCCTTGTTGCCTGTTGTGGTATTTGCAGTGTACTCACTAGCCAGCATACTTGACTGCAGTGGAGTCATTCTTCGATCTGTTGGTAATCGACAACTTCGACCACACTGTTCGCTATCATACAAGTGACCAGTCAGTCAATAGTGTAAAGAGATCAGCTATTGCACATGTGATTCATGCATGGTTGTTAAATGCAGACCTTCTATTAGAGAAACAAAAATACAGAATGAAGGAAATTATGCTCAGTTGATTATACATAGAATCACCAGCTTGTTGTCAGGGTAAATATTTGAGTGGATTTGACAGACAGACAGCACTTTGAAACTGCATTTTGGATGACGAAGTAAGAATACCTGTGCTGACTGCTTTTAAAATAATTTGTAGATAAAGTTTGAATAGAAAGAACACTGTCTTTTTTCTCCGTAAGTTTGAAAAAAAAAAGTATATATTCATCCGACTGTATGAATATGCTCACTGGTGACAATGTATGCATTTTACTCCGATAATCTCAGTAATTTGTAACACTACTCCAACAAGTACAATAGATGGTCATCGGTTAATATCTGCGGGTGATGTGTAGATTCCATTATGGATAAGATTTTATTTTGATAAATCACACAGAGTTTGATACAGTAATATTAACTGATGACCATGTTCCGAGCATAAAGCATTGCTACTCATATTCAGATCAATGCACTACCACCAGCACAACTTTTTCCTTCATTTATATACATGAGTGGAATTGATGATTAGATATTTGAATATAATCAGTAATATAGGATAATATACATTCAGAAATAATAATAATATGAGTGTTATGAGTGATCAATTACAATCACATGGGAAATAAGACGAGTGTTTTTATAGTCAAAATAGAATGTAGTGATGTACGTGAATTGAAATAGAATACAATTTAAGATTATTTATTATCCTCTTCTGATTTGACTGACTGGTGGCAATAATATCTTCCATGCATATTTGTGGTATTTGCATTGAGTCATTTCTGTTGCATTTTCTGTGTTGGGTGTAGATCACACGATGAACCAGGATTCAGTAGTCAATCTCCCTCCGCCTACATATATTACTTCTTAGAATTTTAACCCCCTCCCCGCCATACTATTGTGTGGTTGTGTTAATGCATGTGGTGCAATGTAGTGCTGAGCTTTTTTCTAAACTACTTATCTTCGTGGGGTTAACCATTCTTAACTTAGCTAAATTCTTATATTCCGACAATATGATTACCTCCGATCTACTAGTTTGACCTAACTCACAGACATTGCAGGGTACTTTGTACATTATATTATTTTGTCTGATTGGGTCAGTAGGGTCCTTTAACCTACAGAGCTTGTCCTACCTGAGTGAGTTTGTAGGTCATGAGTTAATATTACTGTACAACACTATGTGATATATCAAAATAAAATCTTATCCATAATGGAGTTATGCTGTACCACAGTGCCCAAGTTTTATACTTATATCGATGTTTAGATCATTTCTTGACGGATACCAACACAATTGTAGGTGTTTTATCCTCTCAGTAGAGTACTTCAGGTGGTTAATCAGTGTGTATATGAAGGTGGGGGGTGGGGGGGTGAGTTATGTGCAAAAGATCCTAAGAATGATAAAGTTTCATTGTTTAAGACAGATGAAATGAAGTGGAGTGATCATGGAGTTTTGAAAGCACAGTCTGATGACTGCTTTCTGTTTCAAACAATGCCCTTCAAGACACTATCCCCTAAGAATTATTCGCTCACCTTATCAACAATGTAAACAAATGTAGGAATCAATGTACTTTCAACATGGTTTGGGAGTAATAATAATAATAATAATAATAATAGCTTTTTATAGTTTGGTTTGTAAGGGTTAGTTTTGTTTTTACGAGTTGATCATGGATTGATATCAGTTAGAGAACCATTGGAAACCAGCCAGGGGGTACTGGACAGCTGTTTCATCCTCGCCTGCCATGTAAACAGAAGCTCCTGGGTGGTGGGTGTGTACTGCCGATGATTCCCAAACTAGACTGATGAAACAGCTGGTTGTCCAGTACTCCGTTGCTGGTTTTCAATGGTTCTCTAGCTGATATCAATCCGTGATCAACTTGTAAAAATAATAATTTTATTCCAAACAGTATTTTCGGTACAAATATGAAATTTTCAGCAAGTATAGTAAGTAGTACAGTAAGTATTGCATCTAATTATCTCATTGCAGGGGTCAGATAATTAAAGTAGGGCATTTACATTCACAACACTGTTCAATAAGAAATGAATATAAAAATTAAATCAAGTGGAACAATGAGAGCAAAACAAAAAATGCCCAGTTCCACAGTGAGTTGATAATTTCTTGCCTTACACCGCTCTCATCACATAAAATGTGTCACAGCTAAATAAGGCATTGTAGAGATTTTGTACCTAGTCGTCCGAGAATAAAGTCCTCCACAGTTGCTTCTAGTTCATCTAGTTCGTCAGATGCAAGGACAGAGTTGTGTGTGTGTGTGTATATATATAGAGAGAGAGCATGTTCACAGTCTGACAAGAGTGTGCCAATATTTGCTAATTCCTCACAGGAGTCCATGTGCCCATCTACGATAGAATTAACCAGTTGGAATAGCAACACTCCACTCACTCGCTCTACTCACGGCTTTTAGTGCCCTTCTCAGTGTAACAAAGTGATTCTTAAGCATAGCCCAGGAAAGCTTAAGGGAAAGCAGTAAAGTAGAACATCAAACGAAATATCCTTCTGGAAAATAACTAACACGATGGCGGAAGACCAGGAAAGGTGATGAGAGGAAATACCACCATCCAAGGTATTTAACAATATCCGATTTAGTTTCAACTTCAGTGCCACGTGTGATGATAGTGGAACTGTGCCAACTAACCAGTTCACATAGATCACGCTTGCATCTGAAAGTGAAATTCAACCAACTGGCATTTGTGGAGAGATTCAGCTTACGGACCAATGATTAATTTCTGACAAAAAGTTATTCATTTTGAAACAGTCTGACTGAGAAGTAACCGCCGGGATAGAAACAGTCAGATCATCGGCATTAGTAGTATCAATCCGTTGGGTTCCGAGTGGAAAATAGGGCATCAACAGCACATCTCCACTTTCTTATATTCTCTGCTATCATCTTCATCTGGCTGATACAACGATTGCCCATAACTTCTCATCTCTCCCTCCTCCTCCTCCAAATCATATCACCTTCCCCATGTCAACACAGCACTGACCACCGACTGGTCGGTTCCCATTTGGGTCCTACTCGAACAATGGCCTGCATTACGCGCGATGTTATTCGATGGCCTCCTCAACGTATGCCTAAACAATCAATTTCCATTTCATGATAAATTCCATTTTTTGGACGTAAAGTTGGAGAGGAAATACGACGACGAGACACTCGAAAGATCTGTGTATCGTAAAGACACATGGAGTGGTCTTTACTTAAATTTCAACAGCTTCTGACCAGTGAGATACAAACGAACGCGAAGAGAATATGTTCACCAAACAAACTAGACATTGAACTAATGCTTCTTGAAAAAAATGCTTGAAAGAAAATGGTTACCCACAGGGTTTCATTAATAAAACATGGCAAGAATGAACTCTCAAGAAGCTTGATACAGCTACAGCCAGTAAGAAGCCAATTATCATCAAACTCGACTACAAGGGCGACGACATTATGAGAATGGTAAGTAAAAGATTAAGCGCAGTCCTGTCTAGGACGTATCCTGCAGCGTTATTTAGTCCCTCTATCCCGAACAACCTCCTCACTGATGCAGTCAAAGTTTGACAAGTACCCCTCACATGTTACCTACAACTGTGTATACCAATTCACATGTATCTGCGGGAGCAGTTACATTGGAAGAACGGAGAGGAGGGCCTAAGTTAGATTCTGCGAACATGTACCAAGAAGCGAGCCTCCGGTTAAAGGGACCGAATTGTTTAAGCTCTTCAATCGCCAAACAGCTGATTGACACAGGACAGCACCGAGTAGATGTGCTGGAATCATTCAAAGTAATCAATAGACAAAGTACCTCAAGTCTTCTCAGGTTTGCTGAAGCTGTAACAATAAAACGATTGTAGCCTGACTTATATGCTCAAAAAGAATCCGTTGCTGGACTTCAATTAACATGGTAACTCACCTCTTAGTAACTCTTTGTTTTCTAGTTTGGTTAACTTATCTTTTCACCCCCATCCGCCTCCCTTTATTTTTCGCTTGACTCGCTTAAGTGACAACTCTTTTTGATCTTCTGAGTTCTGGTCACTGTATTACATCATCAACTTCTCTCTCATCTGACCTCATGTGTGCCGAAATTTCGGTCTTCTCTTATCTAATTACGTAACCACTACTAATTGTCTTTCGTTACCACCCCAACAACACAACTGTTAATTTATTTTTTTTTCAAAAAACTTCTCTCTAACAAGATATATATATATGTCGTAACACTTTAGACACCTTGTAAACCACACCGCCTTATTTCACCATGACGCTGTGACAATATGCTTGCCAGTGGACAAAAGTTCGTTAAAATTGTACACTTTTTATTTTATTAAAGAGTTCAGGCTGTACGCAGCTGATGAGAACCGACGAAGTAAAATGGATCCAGATTATTCTGCGCCAATTTTTCTTTTTTCTTTGTTTAAATCTCCATTCTCCCCTACATAATTGTTGAGCAATCGGCTTTCAGCCAGTTTGTTCATTGTCACAGTTTTTTGTTGCTAATTGCTGGCTGCCATTTGATCTTCAGAATGGAGGCAGCCAGCCAGCGAAGATGGCAGCTGATGCTGAAAGTCTACAATAGGGTGTTCGAAACCCTTTTCGTGAAGTGAAGCGATGAGATGGCCATGTTTCTGACCCATGTAGAAGAACTAACTGACTTCACTGACATGTGTTGGAAATCCGGATCTTGTCCTTTATGCTGTGGAGTGCAGATTTTCAAATGATTTCAGGTTGATGAAGACGTATTTTGACTTTCCGATTCTGGCTGGTAGGTCTTGATATCTTCATCCGTTACGAATGCCTGGGGTTGAAACACTGCTTCCTAGATGAGTGAAGGCAAGAAGTAATCCCAGTCAAATCTCTTCCATGATTGTTGCTGTTGCTGTCGCTGTCGGTGGTAGTCCGTCTCCTGTCCTGTCTTCGCTGCCAGCCAGCTAGCCTCTTTAATCAGTTTGTTGGTTTTCGCCTGCAAGTCTTCGACTTTGTGTAACATT